CCTCCCTAGGTAACGCATTCCACGTGTTTCCACCACCCTCCTAGTGAAATAGTTTTCCTGATATCCAACCTGGACCTGCCCCACTGCAACTTGAGACCATTGCTCCTTGTTCTGTCATCTGCCACCACTGAGAACAGCCGAGCTCCATCCTCTTTGGAACCCCCCTTCAGGTAGTTGAAGGCTGCTATCAAATCCCCCCTCATTCTTCTCTTCTGCAGACTAAATAAGCCCAGTTCCCTCAGCCTCTCCTCAAATTCACATCTTAGATGAATGAAATGGGGGAGAATGACACCACCCCTTTGCTGTTGCTGCTGTTTGGCTGGAAAGATTTCGGGAAGGCTGGGTTACCAGGGCAGCTGTATGTGTGATTACAAAGCAAAGGTTGTGTGTTCACAAAGACATATCAGCTAACTTACCTATCTTGCAATGTCTAGTCTGGGCCCCTGCATCCCTGCAGGGTCCCTTGTAGGACTAGACTCTGGATGGGCATGGGATTCTGAACTGGCAGATCACATTGCAGAGCCTGGGATCCAAATAAGCAGTTGGGGGATTTTGCTATGTGCTTCTCAAGGAAACATTTGGAATCTCAGGCAAATTGTCCCAGCAGCAGCCTGGAACAAGCAGTTCCCTCATGACTCTCAATTTGGCCTTCTGGTCACCGCAGAATGTAGTTCACTCTGCTCCTTACTGATATCATTCAGGTGGGGAGGGGAACAACTAGGCTATACCTAAAATCTTAATAAGTGGCCACTGATCATGCTAAGAAATAAGTTTTCAATTGGTTAAAAGTTTCTCATTTTAGAAATCAGACCACCCAGAAATCAGACCACCCCCCCAAAAAACTAAGTCATTCGTCTTCACAGAGGGTGAGTGACATTCTAAATTAAGCCTTTTTTCTCTCTCTCTTTTAAAAAGAGTAGGGCACTTACTTCTGTTCGGATTCCACACTGAATGTGCATTTTCAATGCGGATGACTTATTTTAGAGAACTAGTGAGAAAATCCTCACAGCTCAGCTTTCATAGAGGTACAGCCAAGTCCAGAGTAATAGTTAGTGAGGAACTCCTCAGGAATTTTATTAGCACTTATTTACTATTCAGTTACCCCTTTGCACTTCACTGTAATAGCCCAGCATAACATGTCCGTGACATTTCTGAACCAAGTCTTTTCCACTTGTTAGTTGCTGCTGATGTTCAATGTGAGAAAAAACTTGGGAAGTGCTATGACTACCGGCAAAAAAGATGCTGGTCTGAGATGGTTTCTGGGTTGTGCGGAAGTGATAAAAATAGAAAATGCTGCATGCCTTGCCCTACTTCGTGTAAGTACAAGCTATTTTATAGTCTATTGATATCAGTTTTCGAAAGTATACATTTATAATACATCGAGACTTCATAAGAATAGTCTTAGAAAGACAAGGTGGGTGAAGTAATATTTCATTAGACCAACTTCTGTTGGTGAGAGAGACAAGATTTCAAGTTACACAGAGCTCTTCTTCAGTTCTGAGAAAGGTACTTAGTGTCAAGGCTAACTACAAGATTGAAGAGAGAGTTTACCATAAGTGGTTAGCACATATTCTAAGGAATCATTCAAGGTGAAGTGGCCCTCAACTGACTTGTGACAAACCCTTGGTTCCGCCATCCCTTATCTGAATTTTTCTTCTGAGGTACATCCCCTTCTCTTCCCTCAGATTCCATAGGAGAGAGCGAGGGATGGCCTGGCTGCCTCCTTCCACCATTTTGTGTTTTCATGGAAGTGTTGAGGAGACTCCTTCCCTCCATGGGAAGGATCATCTGGCTAGGTGGATTTCCATCCCTAAATTAGTAGGAGGACCAGAGAAACACCTCTTCCTGCTTCTTCTGCAATGGCTCTTTATGTTTTCTGGAGCTGAGACTCCTCAGAGAAAATTAAGCTCAGGGGAAACCCCATCCAAGCTATGGGAAACCAGCATAAGTGGATTTGAACCATGCCTCGTAGGTGTTCTTTAGCCCAGCATGTCACCTGGTCACCAGCTGGGGTCAAGCTGAAATCTTCCCCTCCTAAAAATATTGCAGATTTAGCCATGTAATGGTGGTGAGGGTGGGGAATGGTGTGCCTTCCTCTGGAGGCATATGTATGGATGGGACCTCTGTTTCATCTGGCCCACTACTGTATGGTACTGAGATCGTGCCTAGATCTCCATATACAGCTGTGAGCAACCAATACCCATAAGGTGCCAGCAAACGGAAGTGGTAATAAAATGATGAAGAGGATCAAAAGATTGGCTTTTGACGAAGGATTAAAGACTATACATAGCTTGGCTAGATAATAACTAAGGGAGTCAGGATAACCATTTACAAGTGTTTGACATTTGAAATCCCTGAGAAAGGGGAGGAATTGCTTAGGGCTATGCAAGAGGATATAAGGACAAGTAATGGGGTGAGTCCTTTACCATTGGTCTGGACACAGTCCTGGAGAAAATCTTTCACGGACAGAGTCTGTGCCAGTGATTAATGCCGGTGTCACTGTGATCGTGGTTACTCAAATAAATGATGGATAGTATCAATTTCTAAGGAGATTTTAAAGAACTCTGTTATTTCCTAGGTAAACTGAACGAGCACGTGTGGATTCTGTTCCGCGATCGAGCTTGTTTAGACCGCAGAGGGATATGTCAGTATAGGAGCAATTATTGTTCTGGTTCATACGCTAACTATAGATGCGGGGGACCTGAAACGCGCCACTGCTGTTTGCTACGTAAGTGCAATGACTAAGGTTAATCAAATAAGATTTGGAAAGGATTTTTAGTAACTTCACAAAAAAAGAACAAAATATTCACTCTGTTTTATTAGGAAAAATAATTCATCCAATCTTATTTATTAATGGTTTGAAATACACCTCTACCCCGATATAATGCTGTCCTCGGGACCAAAAAATCTTACCGTGTTATAGGTGAAACCGCGTTTTATCGAACTTGCTTTGATCCGCCAGAGTGCGCAGCCCCGTCCCCCCGGAGCACTGCTTTACCGCGTTATATCTGAATTCGTGTTATATCAGGTCACGTTATATCGGGGTAGAGGTGTATTTTGTGGTCTGTGTATTTGGACTTTGAAAACGAGCAGCCTTTACCCTTTGCAACATATGAATTCCTAGCACTAAATCATACCTTGAGAGTAGAAATGGCCAAAATTTTTCCTTCAAAACTTTTTTGGGGAAAAAATTGCCTTTTATTAAGCACTCGATGATTTCATAACCTCCAGCCCCTTTTCTTAAAGTGTCCAGTTTTTCATCAAAATGAAAAGAATATATCAACATTCCAGGTTTCTTGACTTTTCCCCATTTCCTTCCTTTTTTTCCGTGTTGCCACTAAGTACAGAAGAATACATACCAACACTCTTTCTTTCTATTGTTGTATTTAATTTCATTCTAACCCCCTCCAACTTTATGAGGACAAGGATTTTTTGTTTGAGTCCCCTGTATCTAAACCTCCTCCTTCTGGTTTTGTCACCAAGATTGGAAAGGCAATTGCTTTTCAGAAGCAAGTTTGATACTATGAAAGGAAAGAGAGGGGGGATGAAAGGAAAAGGGGTGAGAGTACATTCACCAGGTCTGAACGGCCCATAATCAAATTATATGTAACCTATTTTTTCATTTTTCTTTTACAGGTAGGCCATCTGGGAAATAATGACGCCCTAAAGACTTACACCTGGCAAAGGAAGAGACAAGAATATAAACTTAACTCTCAGCCTCTGGATACCACCAATAGGTCACATTCCCTCCCTTCTCCAAAATAACTACAGTTTGCCTTATTCATGCTTCAGCATTCTCCATTTCTTGAATTTCCTGTAATTTGGTTTAATCACATTACTAGAAGGTTTCCTGTTTTTACATTCAGCCATGCTCCAGACTGTAACCCTGTGGCTTTTCCTGGTGTTAACTCTGAAGGTGTATCAAATCTAGGATGTATAATGAAATAGACTTATGTAACTGAGCAAGAAGTGTCCCATTTTCTGGTGAGACAAGGAAGAACATTTCCTGGAACACTCTAATAAGGTTCTATTTGCCCACAACTTTTCCAAAATAAGGTTGATTACTCAGTGGTCACATTCTGAAGTACAGAATTGTCCAACTAGCTGATTTCCTTCCCAAAAGTGAGGTGCGTGTGTGTCTGCAGACCTGCCCAAGTACCTTTACAGATTAGCTGGAATTCTCTTCCTACCTTCCATCCAACTATCTTTCTGAAATCAGGAATTTAGCTACAGACTTCTGAGGAATGCAGAAATAGATATCGCAATTTGTCCTTGAATTCTCCCTTTTTTTTAAAAAAACCCACTGTTCAGTTGTTAAAAATACCCCAGACAAGTTAATTGCATTGCATTCTCCTAAACAACATAATTACTTTTGCCGAAGGGTTTGGCGTTTCCACAATATTTATTATCTGCCCTGCCAGGACGCCCCCACAAAAAGGCTCTGTTCCGATTGATATTTGGCTTTACAGATTAAGTTCTCAACCAAGATAACGGGTTTCTATTAAATTTCCCTGCTAATGTCTGATTGGCTGGGAACTAAGACACAACCTCTTTTGGAATGCATAAATAGAAAGCAAAGTACTGTAGACCCTTCACTTGAAACCACAACTCTGGTGACACAGACGAAGATGCTCATAGTCAGAGCAATCATTGTTGCTACCTTGATTTCATCTGGTAAGTCAAAATAATATTGTAATGTTGCTGATTTTAAACTAGCATTTTTTGCTGGAAAAAACACTCTTAAGGAAGGGCAGATCTGGGCTTAACTGCAACTTGTGCTTTTGAAAAATCACATCTTAATTTTGTATAAATACTTTAACAGCAAAATCCATACAAGTTACTGATAAAGATTACAGTAAAATATTAATAGTATTAATCTATGTCCATTGCATAAGAGAGACTATAGACAGGTAACAGTATATTAACTCCATCAGCAATTTGGGGTTTCTCCCAAAAACCTGTAAATGGTTTTAAATAATGACAAAGATCAAAAGGTATAGACCATTTCAGACTGTTTCTCTATCTGTGATCCTGTAATAAAAGGACCAGAACAACAGAGGAGGAAACGTACTCTGTTTTTAAATAAATTGCTGTCATGCAATGTAAGTTTCTTGGATGTGATTAGATTTAGGTATTTTTCGGTTACTACTGGATAAAAGGTCTTTCCTCCAAGTGACCAAGTCCTATTCGAGGAAACAGGTTTGAGAGAAATACACACTTTTTACCCCATTTACTCTATATTACTTGTGAAGGCCTTTATGGAACCACTAATAGCTCAAACATATTTCTCACATCCCTTCTTCACTCGTGATTTGGTATGTGTATCCGCTTCTGTATAACCATTGGATATAATTGTTTATGAGGATACCACCACAACACCCATTTAGCCATAAATCCCTTTGTTAAATCTAAAGGCCAAATTGTATTTGTGCAATTGCTTCAAACATGTCTAAAAGCTTAAGCAATAAGCAGTCATCCATACAATAAATACACATTCATAAGCATTTGATCAGAATACTCATGAGAGGATCAGTCTCGGGATAACCCCTTGCATCCTGGCTTGCTTCAGCGTGATTGGATAGGATCTGATAAATACCCTTAGCAAGCCTGGTTCTTTTATACTGTGCATCAAACAAGTGATGTCATATTGACTCTCAATATCCTAGCTAATAACCAGGTTTTGGTCTGATTGGAGTCATTGCTGGTTCATTAGGCACAATCCTCCTTTATTGTTAGAACCATCTGGGATAATTGAGGCCTTTTCCAAGGTCCTATGTTATCAGTTACTTTTTAGGTCCATTTTTTTCCAAGTAAGCCACATTTCAAGCCCAGTATTTCCAATCAAGCAGACCATTTTTCAAAGCCTTCCCACAACTGCTAAGTGCAAGGCATATATTTTCTTTAACCAAGCTAACTGACCCCCTTATATACCTATATTATCCAACAGCAGCTATATCTATAGTCAGGGCCGGCTCCAGGCACCAGCTTAGCAAGCAGGTGCTTGGGGCGGCCAACGGAGAGGGGCGGCACGTCCGGCTCTTCGGTGGCAATTTGGCAGCGGGTCCCTCACTCCCTCTTGGATGAAGCAGCAGCGGTAGTGCCGCAGAACGTGTCCTTTTTTTTTTTTTTTTTTGGTTGCTTGGGGCGGCAAAAACCCTAGAGCCGGCCCGGTACAGTATCTCTCTATACAATCACTGTATCAAGCATGCTCTTGGATTCTTTGAATAATTGTAGAGGATTTAAAAATACTATTAAAGCATGAAACCGTAAAACTATACTCTCCTGTGTGTAGATAAAGGCATGTTATTCTTTTCCATACATCAGCTCTGTAATTACTAGGTGAACTCGTTATGGACATGGCATACATGATTAATGTCTTGTGGTGAGTATCCGATATTATAACCTTTTCCCTCTGCTGTAAATAGTAATAGCATGGCTGAAGAGACATCATCCTAGAATATTTCTATAGGTTTGTTTCTATATTAAATTGCCAAGGGATGGATTCTGCTACCTATACTCACATTGAAAAATATATTATTCTACAAAGGGTCCATAAAAATAAACGGAGCATATCTAGAATAAAGTATTGTTATGAGTTGAGTGGAACCCGGTTAGACATAAAACTGCTACCTAGGACAAAAGAAGGGTGGGAAACTGCCAGGGAGCTTTTGGCTGAGTATTGTTTTGGGGTGGTGTGGGGTATGGAGCAAAACTGGGAATATGACAGACAGAGAGTGCGCCTAGAGGAGTATCAGAAAGTGCAGTGGCTGACCCTTGAAAAAAAAGTGGAGAAAGGTTTTTTGGATCAGGGGAGCTGGCTGAAAAGGTGCTCTTGCTATTTTCTGCTATTCGATTCCTTCTGTGTTCAGAGACACAGGACTTTAGACATTATTTGTAAAGAAACAAAACGGCATCAGAGAAAATACCAATCCTATCAATTTCTACTTCCAACTGGAACAGCCCCCAGGGCCCTGAAACTTGGACTAGCCACTTGGGTCAAAAGGGGTAACACTGATGCTAGGAGCAGGATCTAGTTTCCAAGGAGAGAGATTGTGAACTGGTATTCTTATTGAACCAAGATGGAACGAATAATGGAGGCACCAGCAGAATTGTATTGACCTTCTTTGGTGTGGTCAGTAGGTACCTTTCCCAACCTGCACAAACACTATATATAGATTCCAAACTCAGCTCCTTGCTGGGGTCTGCCTTTCTTTAAATAAATAAATAAATAAATAAATAAATAAAAAGAGAAAGAACAGTAAGGATTAGCTCAAACCTTCTTCCTCTGATTCCTCCCTCAGGACTGTTTCCCCTAGACAGAGCTACACCCACATCTCTTCTCTCTTGGTGGGATAACAAGTCATTGCCCTAAGGGAGTCAGCAGAACCCACTTATCTCTTTCCGAGCAGGGTAATAGGATGGTATGTTTCATTCCAATGAGCGCCTTTTACAAGAATCTTCAAGGACTAAGCCATATTGCCAGTACCATGGTCACATAGTTTCTTAGCGACCAATCTCCAGCCTTGGATATGCCCAGCACTTACTTCAGTGGGAGCCGCACATGTATTTAAAGCAGTGATTATCAACCTATTTACCATTGTGGGGCACATCCAATACTACCTGTAAGGCCCTGAGGATGTCACATGGGCCACAGCTGTGTGCTGATTGGGTGACAATCAGCTCATGGGTCGCAGGTTGAGAATCACTGATTTAAAGGCAGAATTTATTCCTCATACAGGAAAGAGACTCCATAATGATATTTATTTCTTCACCTTATTAGTTCTTATTCTACACATTCCCTCACCTCTTCATTTCTCCCATTTTGTTCTTTTGTCTGAACTATGAATGAGCACTAGAGCTGGAAAAACACTTTGGCCACAACTCTTTTTTTTTGCAGAACAATGCAGATTTGGGTTGACTGAAACATTTCATGAACATATGTTGAATTAACTGAATTGTTTTGGTCAAAAAAATCTGAAAAAATCTAAGTGTTCCAACCCAAACACTTTCTTGACCGAGACCCATGCTCCCTATAACTAGGTTAATCTTGTGAATATGGGTGTTTAAAAAACTCCTTCCCACACATTCTGTACAAACAACATGGAAGTACAAAGTGTGGGCTCCATTGCACAGCTTTTCAGTGCTCCCTTTCCCACCACTTGGTTTGTTTGTATGTTGTCTGTTAAATTGCAAGTTCACCGGGATAGGGACCTTGGCTTCTTTTCTAACTGTAAAATACGTAGCATGCTGCTGCAAGACAAATAGTAGGCTAAATGCTTCGCCCTTTGCACTGCTCTGGAGGCACAAAATGACACAGAAACTTGGTTTAATCAGCCAGTTAGAAAAAGCCCTTGGATAGGAATACCTGGGGGACACAGCCACCTCCATGCCACCCCTTCCTGCCTACCACTCCTCCAAGAATTAAAAAGTCTTCTGGGGGAGTTGAAGCTCGTGTTCCTCATGCTGGAAGAAAGGCGGCAGAAAGTCAGTTTCACTCTCCCTTCCTCAGCTACACCAAGCAGAGCTCAGGCCCAAAAAGTGTTATCAGAAGGAGGTAAAAAACTCAAAAAGGAACAGTTTTAAATCAATATTGTGAAACAGAGAGGCCTGGCCTTCCACTTAGCAGTTCTCAAAATACATCCAAGTAATTTACGCTTCATTTTCACCTGGCATAGAACCTGATCTAGAGTGTGCTGAAGTCCATGAAGGGATGTCAGGGGGCTTTTTATGAGGGCTGTGTCGAAACAGAAGCTTGCTGGGTCAATTATGTCCTATCAATTATATGACTCTTACAGACTGCAAATCCCCAGCTCTGCAGGTTCACTTTTCTGAGACTCAGGCCGAGGTAAGCTGGAAAGGTGTGTTCTTCCGCTGCCATAATCTCAATTTGCAGTTACAATGGAGTGTTGTTTTGTTTTCTGACTCTCTCAGTGAGCTACATTTTCCTCTAAATAGTTCAGACCGATGGACAGCCAACATTCATAGCCTCCTCTGACCCCACACGCATATTCTTCTACTTCAGAGCTAAATAATAAACTCAAATCCTTATTACCATCCAGAAATTTCCACTGAAGAGGGAGGATAGTATCTGATCCTTAGCCTAAGTTATTATTCATTATTTCTATTGCAGTATCATCTACATGCCACAGTCATGGGCCAGAATCTCAGTGTGTCAGGTGCTGTACAAATACACACAAAAAAGTGAGCCTCTGCTCCAAAGAGCTTACAATCTAAGTAAAGCATGGGAACCCTTCCAGAGTTCTACAAGAAAAACTTGGGTTGGATCAAAATTATTCCTATGTCAAAAATATCAAGATCTTCTCTTCTATACTGTGTATTCTATTTAAAAGGAAAAAGAACACCACTCTGTTCACACTAACTTAAAGAAATAAAGAGCCATTCATCCATGGCACTCACACAACCAATGTATATTTGGAAGTGACACATTATAACACATATTATTAAAGAAAGTTCAGCGTCCTCCTATTTTAAATCTATTAGTTGCATACCAAACATTTAATATGAGCATTATGTCTTGTACAAGCCAAAAAAGCTTTAATTTTGTATATTCCATTTCTTCTTAAGTTGCTGCAGGACCATGGGGACAGATATGTGCTGGGAATCCTAGGAACAAAGCAAGGGGCTGCGATGGATATGGCTGCGGATATTATACAGCTCCAAGGTAGGATACTGAGAGCGCTTTTTCTGTGTGTGGAACGGGTGTTTTATTTGTTCATTGTTGTTGCTAAAATAACGAACTGTTCACTAAGAACCAAAACTTCTGAGTTCAACTGTCATTTAAAGCACTCAGGGCTTCTGAAGTCTGACGGAATGACACCACTGAAGAGCAGTTTGCAAAACAAGAACCAGGGCAACAATCCTTCCAGCGTGCATTGATCCCTCATTGACAGAATCACACTGAGAATAGGGAGAGAGTCGTCACCAGGACCCATTCAGTCCTTGGCCCTTGTGGATGGGTCCTTAGTTACTTTAGTGCTATTTCTAAGGATTTTTGTGATGGGGACAGGACATTTGCCCTCTAGGAACTGGACTCAAACCACCAGATGATTTCACATGCAGCTCTCTAGAGGCTGTGCTGTTTGTTGCTCTAGACGCGGGTGGGACAGAACTAGTTAAGGAATAACAATGAAATGGTCTCACTTCCACACACTTGAGTGACCCCAGTTCCCAACTCATAGGTCAGGTGCTCAGCTTGTGTAAAGGGGCGTAACAGCGATGAGGTCATTGGAGTTTTGCTGATTTACACTCGTGGAAGCTCCAGTGTTCTTTTGAGCCTTGTAAGTGAGTGAACAGGCTGCAGCACCATCTAACTAATTAGAGATATTTAGAGAAGATGGAAATGTTTTGACCAGTTCTATCAAACTTACTAATTTACTGTGGGGTCCCATGCGGAGCGCATAAAGCACACGACCAATGTGGTTGCAAGCTGAATCCGAATTCTGTTTATTGCAAGCTTTCTTTTATAGTTTTTCTTAACATTACATAACCCAATTAGGCTATAATCACACAT